TAACTGTTGCTCAGTAGAATCTGCTGTGTAAACTTATTTCCTGCCTTCAGAATGCACGCGTTTGTATGGAACTCAGTGTCATCCTCAATATAAAATTTTTGCTGCATCTTAATTTGTATTGTAGGCATACAAAAACCTGGTTCAGGGAAGCTATGTGACGAAATTACCTTAGCAAAACCTGTGGAGAATCATGAATCTTGGACCGCTGATATTACCATTTATATTAGCCAGGAAGGCAAAGGCAGTGAACGATTCAAAAATGATTTATGTTTTATGATCAAAACACAATGGCTTCAGGTGTGGGTGCACAGTGGGATGGGAATATATTTCACTCCATTGTGACCACGTAGGATCATGTCTGGGCAAAACCTCAGTCCTTAGACTGCCTGATAATGTGAGTAATAATTAAGCATATCACATCATCATGTCATGTGTCCATGGTTATGTAAACAAAGGGCCAGTGATGGGGAAAGTAGTAGCACAGTACAGCAGTATATTTGAGTGGCCGTCCTTCCTGCAATGTCTCAGTGCCCTCTGTCTCTCTTTGTTTCTCAGATAACGTTTACCTAAGAAAAGGTAAGCCGTTCTGTCAGCCGCCTAACTCCGCTTTGACTGCTCGCTCTGGCTGTATCACAGCAGAACGCATGTTTGCTCCCATCCCTGCATCTCAAATGAGAAGAGGTTTTTTTTTGTTGTTTTGTTTTGTTTTTGTTTTTGTTTTGTCTGACTTCATCATTCTCTCCTCGTTGCATGTCTCACTGTCGCTGTCGCCTTTGTGTCAGCCGCTGCTGAGTCTCGCTCCTGCGGGAATAGATACGCCTGCTTGTCACTCTAGCTGCGGATAGCGCGCATAGATCTCTCTCGTATTAGCGCTCTGCCGAGCTTTAGAAGACTTCTTTGTGGGACACGGATGGTTAACGGTTAAAATGGAGAGGTTGAGTCTGGGAGATGACAACACCGTGGGAGTCAGGCACTGTACTATGCCTGAGCGGTTTCATTTCTGGCAAATAAACCGTAAAGATGCTTCATGTGTGTTAGACGGGCTAGCCTTAAATTTAAATGCCCCTCTGGCTTGTGTTTGTCATTATGCTCACTTCCTGGAACCTATCCCCAGAGGACAGGACTCTGAGGGATGTCCCCTTCTGTCCTCCCTCACTACCATTTCTTTCCTACCAGGAAGTAACGGGGGGAAGCAAGGAAATGAAGGAATGAAAGGGAATGGTAATGACAATTGCTTTGGCATGTTGTCATCCAAACAGTTGAAGTGGGACAATCACATCAGTGTAATGGTCTGGAATTGGCCTTCAGAAAATACTTCCTGAGAGGAAACTCCTTAGGTTCCATTCTCAAAGATTCCCTGAAGGAAAATCTGTGACTGTTTGAATAGTTTCCTACAGTATTGTGACAGCAAACTGGATGGCAACCTCAAAATCAATCTCTGGGTCACAAAGGAAAGGAGGAGGTAGCGAAGGACAGAAGAAACCATTAGTCCGGTAATGGGACACACCTTGTTGCTTATGTCATGGAGAGAGCTGGGAAAGGGCTAAGAGAGGGAACTCTGGGAAATGTAGTCAGACTGGTCATACTGCCCCTCAACTTACAGTAGAGCCATGTACTTCCCCCAGCTGCCATATTCAGCTTTTTGATGGGTGCAGATTTGAGATACTCATCCTTTGTATAATTCTGAAATACTGCTTGTATACTGGGGAGGACAGGATGGCCGATAAAGCCAAATCCCCAGATGACCCAGCAGCTCATTTCTGTCTTGTTTTGGGGCCACAAGCGTCTGTTGTTCATCTCAATCACCTGGCTCTTCAGTCTGTGGAGATTTGGACTGTGTCACTATGAAGAGGGCCGCAGTTCCTGAATGCTTTGTGCAAAATGGATGAATATTTATACATATCAAAGCTGACAGTCTATACTTTGACCACTGTGTCATATTCATTGGTTTCAAATCTCGTCGCTCTCAAGTCTCACACGTGCCATGGGAATACCTCTCAATCCTACGCATTGAATGCAAATCTCTGGCTCTTCGATGCACGAAATAACCTTTGAGAAATATTTTGTTACTGTTCTCTGCACTTGCAAGGTATGAAATCTAATGTGCCGAGGTTCGGGAGCAAAGACAGAAGAAATACTGAAGTGCAACAGTCAGATAAATCATTAATTGCAAAATGCAGCACCTGTTCCACTGACCGGGAAGGATGTTTACTGGCATCGATTTGGAAGGCATAAAGCAGGTGTGTGGAATGTCTGCCATACCTGAGTACCTCAAAAAATAACCGTAGTGGACGAAGACAACCTGTTTCTTGTAGATCTTTTCCAGTTGGCGGAGGTTGCCAAAGTAATGTTGGCATGCACTGCGATAACTTTGCTGCTCGAGTTTGCAAAGCTGTGATAATACAGGTTGCTCTGGGTGTGTTATTGTAGGTCGAATGTCAGCACTTCCTCCAGTGAGTTCCTGTAATGTTCTGGGCTGCCTTATCACATGTGTTTCCTCACCAGATGAAATGTGAGCTCACAGGGCCTATCAGTGAATGCTTAAGAGTGCAGTATCCCGAGGTGCCATTCAATGCTTTTTGGTCACAGTCCCTGAAAAATAGCGGATTTCTTGAACGTTCCTTTCGGGTCATTTCCTGTGCGGGTAACACTTAACAATAAGGATACATTAATTAACATTACTTAATGCAGTAATAAGCATTTACTCACAGCTAATTAACATTTAACTAATACATCTGGTAATCATTTACAAATGATGTTCACATCAACTGAGGTATTAATTTATACATTATGGTTTAACGGCTTAAAGTGCTGCATAAGGGATACTTAAGGGACTTTTTGAACTTCACAATAAGGGAAACACAGAGAATTAATAAATGGTCAATTATGGTTGCATAATGCTTATTCGGTTATCTAACGCATTAGTTACCTGCTAATTAACTGATAGTTAATGAACTAATGTTAATTAATGGTAATTATTGTACCCTTATTGTAAAGTGTTAACTCAGTGCGTGTTGTACAACAGGTTACTGTTAGGTCTGATGTTTGCATTTCGGACTAGGGAATGTACTGGAGGCTGTGGTCACTCATTATGTAATGAATCATCATGTTACTGTAACTCTACTACAGGGCAGGTGAGAGTGATGTAAACGTCTTTAGTGGTAACTGGTTTCCACATGTCTGGATGTTACTGTTCTAGACATGCACAAAAAAGAAGAATAATTACTGTGTTTGAACAGTTGTGGACTGTTGTTTAGCACAGAATTATTTTGTACACGCGAGTGTGGTCTGTTGATATTTTTCCGAGTCACACAAATTTTGCTTTTTTGCTCTGTACGCTTCTGCATTGGATTTTGAAACTGCGACTATGAGGTCAAACTAGAGATTTTAACATCTGGGCCAGGTCAGGTGGTAACGGAGTTACAAAATTGGTGTATTTTGTATCAGAGCTCCAAAACTAAGTAAGATAGAGATACAATTTAAATGGCTTTGTGTAGGTCTTCCCTAGTACTTCAAAAAACAAAATGGCTCATTTTGGTCATTTGATTTATTTTGGGTGAAAATGGCAAAAAACTGGTCAGTAATGGAGTTATTTCCTGTGAGACCTTGTATGAATTTGATCCCGGTTTACGCCGTGCCACTGTCCACTTACATGCTGCTCTGTGTGACTTCAGCTTATGAAGTACAGAGTTTTCCCATATACTTAAGAATACTGTGTGTAATCACTGCTTGTAGTTTTAGCGAGTGGGTTTTTTTTTTCTGATGGGCATAACCTCATGACCTGTGCTCTGCTGAATTCTGCACGCTAATGGTAAGAGTTGTAATTCCTGAGTGGTGACAGACAGCATAGCCTATTGGCTAAAATGGGGATAATTAGGGTAACTGATAGATTTTTACCCCTTCATTGCTAAGCACCAAATCCAAATGTGATCTTTTCCCGAACGGCGAAATTCCGTGTGCGGCTCTCCCATTTCACTGGCCGGAGACACATGTAGCCGTGCAGCTGTCGTGTGCTCCGATCGCCGCGGCGACCCGATGCTGCGTGGGGAAACGGAAGAACAGATGCACAGTTAGCGCAAGAAAAACGAGACGCGGGCCGTGGTCTCACAGGGCGGTCGACGAAAGTGACCTGCGCGCGCCAACCGCGCGGAAACAAAATCTGAAATCAACCCAAATAGTTCAAAGGACCTGGGGGTTGCATGGCAACAGCTGCAGACTCGCTTTGAGGCGCTGCACTTCCTGACTCGAAGTGCAAAATTACATTTGCTTCGTTTGCAAACTGACTGGCTCTCGCCAACTTCAATGTGCAATGGAGAAGTTTAGGGAGTGCAGGTCTGGAGCAGTGCTTATCTGGCCAGCCTTCAAATCGCTGCACGTCATTCACCTCCCTATTTTTCTCTATCACTGGAAATTAGGTACATTTATACTTTCCGAGTCAGATTAAGGTTAAATTAGCAGATAAAACAGTAAAAGAGGATTTTATCCCATCAAAATTTTAACCCATTTACAGTCTTGAGGGGCGTACAAAGCAAGTTCAGCATTAGTCTAGCTGCCTTTGCGTGAGCTGGCTTGACAAACCCTAAACTTGTAACTTGAGATAGCCTAAGTTCCCATGGCAGGTTAAAAGAGAGCCACCTTCATGACATTGAAAACCAATAGACTTTTGGCTGAACATCACTCACTAACCCATTAATCTTGCTCCGAAGTACGCTTCTCTGGCCTGGGTATACTTGGGGTGGTGGGGGCTTACTGGACAAGGTATACGTTATTGAACCCCATGGGGTAATTGGTCCTCAGTGTTTGACCCATCCTATTGTTAGGAAGAGTGGGCAGCCAGCAGAGCAGGGGTCCAACTCCAGTTCTAAAGCCAGTACCTTGGTCAGGGGAACTGGTAGGAGTGTTCCTATAATGCATGTTTTTCTAGGTGGGGGAAACCGTAGTACCCAGAGGAAACCCACGCAAACACAGGGAGAACATGCGAACTCCACACAGGGAGGCCCTGGCCAGCCAGGGCTCGAACCCGGAACCGGCTTTTTGAGAGGCAGCAGTGCTAACCACTGTGCCACCATGCCACCCATATTTGGGCAAGCCCTGTCCATGGAATGATAATTGATTTCTATTGAATGATTTCCATGGAATGATAATTATTTGTCTGTCGTTATGTCTTAACATTTTATACCCTAACCCAGGACTGGCCAATCCTGTTTCTGCCTCTCTAGCATCTTGTTGGTTTTCATTTCCACCCTAATTTGGCATCCCTGAGTCTGCTAACTAGCAGCACAACAGGATCTGTAGCTGTTGAATGATTGAATGGGGTGTGCTTTGTTTGGGTTGGAATGAAAATATACAGGCCTCATAAAGCTTTGAACACTCATTAAAAAATGATCTGTAGGCGCAGAAAAAATGCGTAACCACTTTCATTGTGGATGTTGGATTTATAAAAAATAAACTTGAAATTAAAATACATGCCGAATAAAAAGGATTGTGCACATATGCAAAATGTCATGTTAATTTTGATTAAATAAGGAAAGAAATGCATACAGTTTGGCTCACCAATAGTTGTATAAAATACAATATTTTTTACCACCAGCCACACTTCTTTTTGTACGCACGTAATATTTCAGTCTGAAATCTATGCAATTTTTTTTAATAATAAATAAGGCCCCAGATCTTCAGCAGCTGATTGGACAGCCCTACCCCACCGTTATCGTTTAGGATCTGTTTTTATTTTTGTTACAGAAACCAGTGATGTACTATATTTTAGAGCCCTTTGCCACTCATTTTTGGAGAGCCATTCACTTTTCTCTCCGCTATAAAGTATGAACTGTCCCTATATGTTCTTTTCTGGTCAGATATGGGCCAAATGGGCATCTCCACCACAGTTAAGCATGGAGGAAGAGGTTTCAGATTTGAGTCCAGATTTGAACCCTTTGGAGAATATTTGGTCTCTTATCAAACACAAACTAAGTGGGAAATGTTTTTTAGTTGCTCATCAGCTGTTTCAAGCCATTAATGCTGAGTGGACCAGCTTTGACTCTTCTTCCTGTAAAAAGCTGTCTGCAGGTTAAAGCACAAGGCTCAAACATTTAACAAAATCAAAGGCAAAGCTATCCCTCACCAAATTACGTGATGTATTTGTTTAATTCTTGCTGATTTCCTGGCCAGTGGTTTTTTGTAAAGACCATTAAAAGCTTCATATTTTACCAATTTGGGCTTGGCCCTTTTTTTTCATCCAGGAGTGTATGTTTCACTCTGAGCATCGAAAGGCTCTGTACAAGTCTATTAAGTGAACCCTCTGCTGTGGTGGCAGAAGTTGGACAGTGAGGCAGGCATGTTTCACCTGTCTAGAAGACCCTGTCATTTAAATAGAGTAGCACACTGAAATGAGCAAATAAATCATGAAATAAGTTCGTTCTTTGTTGTTGACGTCATAACCATAACTGATTGGCGTTCAGTAACAAGAAACCTGTTACTCTACTCGCTGAAGAGTCAGTATGTTTATCAGGACGAATGAAATGAATGGGGTGTGAAAATGTTGAGTGAAAAACTTTATGGACACTGGAGGCGTGTGTGGAAGTTTGCTAAGTACCAAATTAATGTGAAGCTGTTGAGTAATCAGCTTAAAGAGGGCGAGTTCCACCGCAGTAATTGCTTAAATTAGCATAGGAGGATTTGCTACGTAAATAAATGAAGTCAGGAAAAGACAAATCGACACGCTTGCCTGAGCCCACACACTGGGACAGCTCGACAGATCAGTGGGGTGTGGTGATGCTGTGGTACTTAGAAAATTATTTGCTACACTTAACTTCATAACAGTGCTCTGTGTGTGCGTTTTGTGCGCATGCTAGCAAGAGTGTGACGTGATGTGTTCGAGACGAGGCACTTAAAATAGGGTAAAACATATTTTGTTTTGTGCAGAGTGTTTGCAATTAGCGTGAGAGCTAATTGTGCTGTGAGTTCTGCAAAATGCTAATGTGTTAATCAGCTTTGTGTAAGTTTAGTGTGGTATACGTTTTCTTCGCTCAAGCAGTAAGTGAGAGATTTCAGTTCTGTGCTCTGGTCGTGTACTGTAGTTAACACATTTGCGTGTACCCAGTGTGAACACATCAGCTAAGAATTCTACTCTGCAGGGATGATGGCAAGTTGTGTAACAACTCACTGCTTATTTACAACTCATGAGCCTCTCATTCTGTGGTCTAGGCCTGCCTTAGCCTATTTCAAACTGGCTAGCTCATCCCAAAAAGTCTTGCGTATTAGCATGCTACATTTTTTATTTATTTAATTTTTTTTTTCATGTTTAATCATGACATTTAAGGTTTCACTTAACTCAGGGCCTCTACGGTATCAATTATTATTTTTTTTTTACAGCAAATGGAGTGTGGGCTCATAACCACAATGAAGTCACTCTGAGAAATTTTGTACAGTCTGTTCATGTTCATAACAGTAAGGATACGCCTTAATTCATTTTAAAATGCGTGATTTTAAAAGGCTGTCACCCACATACAGATGGCTCAGAAGTTGAATTTCATAACGATAACAACATCATTTATTCAGCGTGTCCAGTCATTCATTCGCCTTTTCAAATTAGTCTGCATAATTGGCTTTGCCTTGCGCAGCCTGAATGACTGAATAGAATTTGAAGGTCTGACTAAGAAAAACTAAGTGGTATAAGAACATGCCTCTGTATTCCAGACAAGCCAAAAGCAAATGCCTGAAGTCATAGCGATGAGGCCTGGCTTTAAGCTTCGAATAGAGCTGGTTCTCCACCGACTCATTGTTAAAATATAAAGCTTGTATGAATAAGGAGTATTAATTTTACATTATTTCAATGTGCTTAATTATCCTTGTTCCAGATAAAATAAAATCCCCAAAGTGTCTAGTTTGCAGAAAGAGATTAGGAGGCACTTACTGGAACTTTCTCTTTTCAGTTAGCTACAAAAGCTCCTGCGGGAACATGCTTGACAGTCTGTAGCGCAGTGAAGTCGTCGGCCTAACTTATGTGTGCTAAGGTTTAGAGGTTTGCAGGAATGGCCAGTAAACCTCGGCGGTGAACCTGTTCAGCTCCGCATCACTGTAAGAGATGAAATCCTTGCAAAATTACGCACTTAAGAGCGAATGCTGACCTGCCCTCTTAAATGCCAGTGTTTAGTTACCAACCGAGTGGCGCTCTTGATAGATCACTCATTTGTGCTGTTTCAAGCTTGTCTCAGGACTCCATTAACCCTTAAAGCGCCAAAGGCAGCATTTGCCGCTCGCTGATACAATGAAATAAAAAAAACCTATCATGTGGCGACTTGTTGAAAAGAGCTCCCTGAGGGAGCTCTTTTCAACAAGTCGCCACATGATAGGTTTTCAAAAGCTCAAGATATTTAAATTTTTTAAGCGTTTGAAAATTGGTTTCGGCGCCCTAAGGGTAATAATTTGTTTTTATTCATTTGGGGGGGAAAGAACAGCCAAAGTTAACTTAAATAAAAGTTGAAGTTGAAGTTAAATTCTATGTATTGGAATGGCCATCGGTGAGTTCCCACTCCTTCTGTTGCAAAACCTCCAGTGCAGTCGTGATAGTTTTATAAGTCCTTTATTAACAGTGTGTTCACCTCTTCAAAGCAGTCAGTGCTGCAGTGTTGGCCATGACAGGAGCGTTGAGATAACTGTTTGGCTTTCGGCAGATACTTTTTTTCCCACCTGAGTCTGTATCCCAGCTCAAATTAAGGAGGAGTGTGATCCAATTAGCACGACCGCAGTTACAGTCGTTACCCAGGGACCTCGTTAGTCGACCCGTGTGGCCCTGTGCCAGGCGTACCCCTGGGTACAGAGTAAGCAGTGGCTTCCACGACACATAGGTCTACTGGAACCTGGCCACACAGGCTGTAGATCGCATTTAATGGAGCGATCATAATTACCGAGTCATGTATCTGCATTTCATCAGTGCTGCAAAAACTGACTTTAAAATTTTCCAGAGCAGGGGAATCACTGTGTAATACATATTGGATTATTCAGTTTTTTTTTTTTTTTAAATCTCCCGATTCCCTACATGCTCTCTAGGCTGCAGGATTCTGTTTCTTGCAAAAAATGCATCAGGAACGCATTTGAGAGAGAAAGCTTCCCTTATTTGTTCGAAAATATTTGTCTGGTGCTGAGGACAATAGATTTTTGTACACACTTTGCTACCTGTTCAGTAATTTTCAATTTATTTGACCTAATACTAAATGATTATTGCCTCATATCAGACAAAATTGTCCACTCGCTACACTACGTTTGTCTAGCTGGCGTATTCAGTGGTCTGGACCCTGGAAAAAATGAATTATAATTTTATGTTGATCCACGTTTATTGATATCTGCTCGAAAAGACAGTGACGATCTTCCTTCCTCTGGATATTTATGAAGTAATTTCAGGTACCGCAGTACTTTGGTCAAAGGTTTATCAGCCTAGAACCTTCTGGATACAAATTCAATGCATTCATGCTTCTGAGCACTGTCAACTTACCAATACCGCATTGCATTACACTGTCCAGCTTTGCTGCCTCGCATGGCATAAAATAACCAAATCAGCTGCTGGAATAAGGAAATGGCGTCTCCCTGGAGCAGAATGCAGATGGAGACAAGATGGGGAGGCCATGGAGAAGAGTGGAAATAACAAATGCATTTTTCTTCATTTTTACTTATGTGTCATTCAGTGAGTATCGGACTGTGATTTTTAGGCCTGTGTGCTTAAATAATGCTTCAGAGGGGAAATCCTTGCATCTGACAATACCGTCAGTTAAGCACATTAACTGATGTGGCTGGAATTGGACAATTTCCGTTGTCCAATAATTATGTTCACTCTTTTTTGTAAGAACCTGTTTTTATAGGAGCAATGAGGCTGAAAATGTCCCAAAATTAAAACATCCTGAGGCTGAGAAAAATTGAAATATGTTTAGAATATCATGAGGCTGAGAATAAGTACTGAAGTAAGGAACTTTTATCCAGATAATAGAATGGAAAGACTCGTCTCTAAACTTCAATGTTCGTCAAAGGGTTTTATCTGTTGTTTAAAATGCTAATTATGCCAAAAAATTGCAATGTCTCAAAC